GTTTTATTGAGCGAATTCCTGGCTAAAAATCCAATAGAAGGCAAAGGATAATTAGGAAAAATACAAAGGTGACTTCATTTTGTGATGAATGAGTTCAGAAAAGAGAAACAGGGAGACAAAATATGTTTCTATATAAATGCTCTGTGATGTTTTGAAATAATGTAAAAACACTTGAAAAAAGAGCAAGCCTTTAGATTTTGAAACACTGTGAGTTTAGTCAATTGTAAGTAAAAAGGGACTAATCTCAGTGTAAGAATTTACATGCATGCATCATTAAGCTTTATCTGATGACTACTAGTAGGATGGTAAACATAACTATTTAAATGTAATTATGGGTATCATTAAGTGAATCATAAGTAATCTGTTTATTTGTAGTTTCAGTTTGATTGAAATAGTAGGATCGCACTCTATTGGCACCTGTTGCTACTCAAAGTAACTACAGGAGTTTTAAGGCTGAGAGGGACTTCTTCAAGCACTGAACAATGAGCAGACCTACAATCCTTTTACTGACTGTGCTTCATCTCAAGACTGTTTTTAACCCCAGAATCCAGGAATCTTATGCCTCTGATGCTTATGAACTTCCTTGTGATAGTTCATGTTGCATGTAAGCCAGTGTAACTGGGCTACTGCCAAATGAAGTGATCCTGTTCCCCCAGCCACGGTTTCTCTCTGCCTCTGTTGCATCACAGCTGATGTCAATGAAGGTACAGAGTGGGTCAGAATAAGGCAAAGCTGTTCATCAGCTGTGTCACTGCAGTGATCTGTTTATACTGAAATAATAATGATTTCAGGGTGAATAAATTATACACATACAATTGTACGTTCTTATGTATAGATGATTTTAGTGAAATTAGTGTCAGAAATTTATTTTAATGCACCAAATTTACAGTGTTTTGTCTCCTGGAAAACTCCAAAGGTCTCAGTAGAGATAAATGGAATGTAATGTCAGCGTGTGTCTCACTTTTTTGATAATCAGAGTAAGCACAAGATGTTCTGTAACCTTGAATTTTTTTTAGCTTGTCAGTCCACTAAAATGATGAACTTTCATAAAGCACTCAGGTGTTTGCAGATTGATGCCTCTTAGAAAACATGAACCCTATTTGTAGGAGTTTATGTCAGTCTGCTCATTAATGTGCTTACGTCTTCTGAAAACAAGCCCCAATATTGATGGTAGGTTCTCAATAGTTCCTGATGCAACCAAGTTAGTGTAACACATAAGAGCAACATCTTTATTTCTAGTCATACTGTGAGTTTAGGCAAAACTGTGATTAGTCCCATGTGCATAAGGATTCCATTCTGGGGAATACGCTTGAGGAATCTTGGCTGCAAATACAATGAACTGACAAGTACTTATAAACAGGGAATTACTGTGAGTATATATCTTCGGACCTATCTCAACTACTCAGCTCCTACTGAACTCTCTAGTATTATTCCTAGTGAGCTTAGCAGCAGATTCCTACTGAACTCAGCCTCTGGTTCTTACACAGTGTTTTGGTAAGTTGAAGCATTTAATCAAGTAGGTCTTGATTCACAACACAAGTAGGTTTGAGATTTTTTTTCTTTTCTTTCATAAATCCTAAACAAGTTGCACTGCATTCCAGTTAGCCTGGCATCCTTCATGAAGAAGTATTACTCACCATATGCATGCAATTTCTAGATAGAAAGCAATCTATCATTCTACTAGCATTCTTTAACTTAGGATTCATAAAGCAAGGTGATGTGGTTTGTGCTGTCCTCAGACTGAGACACACTGCTATGATGTGGTTCAGACTATGAAAAATAAGTTAAAAAACAACGATTTCACTTTATGATTTTAATGGGACAACCGCAGCAGCTACTAACCCAGATAATACCAGTGAATATTCTAGTTCATTCACAGCTGCTAGTCTTGTGTTCATCAGTGCTTTCCTGTGCTGTCTTTTCACTTCTTGTACGTGCTCCTCCTTTGTTGTGAGTGTTGTCATCCTTTACAGTGAATCATAGAATGGGTTGGGCTGGAAGGAACCTTAAAACCCACCCAGTTTCACCACCCCACCTTGAGCAGGGTTGCCACCCATCAGATCGAGTTGACTGGGGCCCTTGCCAGCCTGGTCTTGATCACCCCCAGGAATAAGATATCCAGAACTTCTCTGGGCATCCTCTTCCACTGCCTTACCGCCCTCTGAGTGAAGAATTTCCTCCTATCATCTAACCTAAATTCTCCCACTTTTATTTTACAGCCATTCTCCCTAGTCCAGTCACTATGTACCCATGTAGAGAGTCACTCTCCCTCATGTTCATAAGCTTTCTTTAAGTACTGGAAGGCCGCAGTGATGTCTCCCCAGCGTCTCCTATTTTCCATGCTGAAGAAGTCCAGCTCTATCAGCCTTTCCTTGGAGGAGGAGTGCTCCAGACCTCTGATCATCTTCGTGGCCCTCTGAACCTATTCCAATGGCTCCATGCCTTTTTTGTGTTGGGAGTCCCAGACCAGAATGCCAGTTCTCCAGATGGGACCTCATGAGGGCAGAGTGGACTTGCCGCTCCTTAGGCTGGAGCTGAACATTTGACCTTGTAGATTCGGAATGAGGGGAGGAAAAGACAAGATGAATAAGCTACCAGAAAAACTTTGTAGCTTACTTACAAGACTAACTGAAAACCAAAACCAACTGAACTTACAAGCGCAGTCTCCCTGAACATCTCTTATTCCAAACAGAAATAGTCCTCTACTCTGGAATCAGATTCAGGGTGGGATCTAATGTTCGCATATCCTCGTGAGCGTCTAAAATATGTAGCGTGTGTTTCAAATACTTGCCTTTCCATTTTCTTCTTAGCACTAGTTTTGTGGAACTGTTTAAATAGCTTACATTTTAATCCACAGGTATTTAAAAGAAGGAGGAATAAGTGATCCAAAAAAAACACCCAAATCAAACAGCTCATTAGTTTTACATAATAGCAAAATAAGTAGGTCAGTATCCTGTGCATTATTTTACTAATAGAATAGTCTAATTGGTCTGAAGTTAATGTTTATATGGTGCTTTGAAGATGTAATTTGTTGTACTGAGCTAATATAGCGTTCATACACTTCTACGTTTAGCTATACTCCCAAGGAAATTACTAACCTAGAATGAAATCCTTGAGGTTTCTGATGCACAGTGAGAAATAGAAGAGATGGATTTGACTGACCAAGTGTATCTGTACCTCTGAAGTAGAAATTGGCAAAGAAATGGCTACATTTGAAGAATGACTTTCTTCTTGCTGAAGTAGGTAACTGAAAATATCATTTGTGTCTGATTGTCAACTATAATGGTATATATTACAGTGGCTGGGCTTCGCTGGGACATTTACCTTGCAGATAATTAAAATTAGTGTGAAAAAAAACCTAGACCAAACTGCAGTTTTTCTCCAATGTTGTCTGACTCCGGAATGCGTCAGATAGAATTCCAGACTGGTTGGCTAACATGATTGATGGAACATAGCTTGAAGAGACTGTGTATGCCATGATTCCAAGTGCGTTTGACAAGATGACTGAAAAATCTTGATGTTTATCTTTGCCCTCAAAGTCTGTGTTTTCCTTTCTGTCAACACCTGGCAGTCTAAGTTGCTAGAGCAAGCCCATTCAGGCCTGTTGCTTTATCAGCCTGTCCTGGCTTCCTTCCAGAGTTTTCATAGAGTTCATAGAATCATTAAGGTAGGAAAAGACCCCAAAGATCATGAAGTCCAACCATCAACCCATCTCCAGCATGCCTACAGCACAAAACAATGTAGGACAGGTGTTGCTAGCAGTTGGAATCTTTGCCACAGAAGCTTATCTTCCCAGCCTCTTGTGTCTGTAAGCAGTGTGGGTGTTGTCTTGCAAATACTTGCATGTTCTGTGGCAAACATGAAGCAAACAGACATTCTTGGATCTACAGCAGACATAAAACCTTCTCCAGCCTCCCCCACATGCACTCAGTTGAGTGCGTGATTTCTGTCTCAAATCTTCCCAGCCCTACAGAGGCAGTTGTCATCAGCTGGTGGTCAGTGGAATCTGCAATTATCCATATTTGAAGGACCTTAACCTTTGACATAAACAACCTTTTTCCTCCCAGTACTTCATTACATGTCCCAGTCTGGCTTTTTGGAAAATCTCTTCGTTCAGATTTTTGCTAGTGTAAGATTGTGCTGTGATCCTACAAATCTTTCTTCCTCCCCTGGAAGTGATCTCCTGGAAGTGGACACAAGGCTGGGCTTCATATTTTTCCAGATCTCTCCTAACTAAACTCCGCTTTCTTTTTTTCTCTAGCTCTCATTTCCAGCTTTTCAAGAAAGCCTCATCTCTATTGGAGTAGGAACTGGCTGATGCTGTTATCCATGCACAGAGAAAATTCCCTGACTGCAATGACCAAAATGGGATGAGTACAGAGACTGCTAACAGAATATGCAATCCAGCATCTCTGCCATCTTCTCCTGACTGACTGATCATTACTGCTGGTTCCTTCTACCCTCCACTTAGTCTCCACTTAGTACAGTGTCCCATTTTTACAAATAAGATCCCTGTATATTAGGAGGAACCACAGCTTGAATCTTCTGACATAAATGAGTTATATGTAATTGGAACAACTTGGGAAGGATTAGCAAGGATACTTACCTTATTCCATAACCTTCCATCTTTCTCGTTCCTCTGCTTCCCAAACACTTGTGGCTACTTGTATAGCTTTGATGTAGAGATGTTCTGCTTCTAGTAATAGTAGTAATTGGTTAGTTATTATACTGTTCTTATTTTCTGTTTGATGAGATCTTCTAGTGTCATGTCATGGTAGGGCATGTCCACTTGCTATCACCTGTCACACACTGTCCTATCCAGGGATAAAACCATATGCAAGACAGTCATGTGCATTCCTTGCATAAACTTCAATATGTCCAGCGATACATGTCTATGCTCAAAAAAGTTAATATCTGAGAAAATAGGAATGAAAAAGTGCACCTTTCCCAAGGAAACTCTTTTAATTGTCCTTTTTTTTTTTTTTTTTTTTTTTTTGCAGAAAACATAATTCTACTTCTTCAGGCCCTGAGAAAGCTCTGTCAGTTACATACACAAACTTACAAGCAGCTCTGGGATTCCTGAGTTACTGAATTTAGATTTCTCCTTGGATTTCCTGACAGCCTTTTAGCTTTTCTCAGATGAGCTTTTAAGCATTTTCAAGACTTAAAGACTGGCTCACAGTGAGAAACAAATTCCACAGTTCACATGCTAAGCATCCGCCAACCCCATATTCACATTTTCTGCAGTGTTTTATGTAATCTCCTGCCTAAGTGTTGATCATTGTTCCTCCTTCCACCCTCTGCATGGTGTACTGTCCCACGTGCTCCTGGAATGTTGTGTGGCAACAAAGGCTTCTATTGTATGAAGCTGGGGAAACTAGCATCTCTTGCTAGACAGTATGCTGCTGAGAGGTTATTAAGATAGCTTGATACATCTACTAAAGGGAAAAAATGAACAGAGGATTCATGACTGAAATAAATTTCCAAAGAGACTTATATTTATTATACTCTTAAGGATTGAACTATGTCTGAACCATTAAGACCAAAACAATAATTGGCATCTGGCTACTTTTGCAAAATGATGGCTGTTTTCTAAAGGTAATGTAACGTAAGAAAAACTAATACAGCTATTATCTGGGTGGAGAGGGACGATACAGAGTGAAATGAAATTATAATGTATGGGAGGGTCACAGCTCTGCAGATAGGCCCAAACAGATAGTTCTGCTTTGTGCTAATAGGAAGCTGCAGCCCCTATACCGTCCCATCATCAGGAGATCTGCTCTTGTTTAGGCACAAGACCCATGGGATTTAAGTGTAGCTGTGACATAGAGAATGGAACAGGTCTTACAGATCGGAATTCAAAAATGAGCATGATCGCACACACTTCCCAGCCGGGGAAATTTCTGCGAGGTTAACTCTGTGCTCTGGTAGGCTACTACTGTGTTTTGGTAGGTCACTGCTGCTTTCTGCAAAACAAGGTGATGCAAGTTCCTGGCCGCACCCACATAATGAAAATCCAGTGAAACTTTTCCTCTGTGTTGAAACATAAACGTGGAGAACCTTTCCTGGCCCAGGAGGGTGGGGTGTGGGGCTGCATTGCGTGCAGCAGGTAGGCCAAGATCACAGAATTCTTCTACGATTTGCTGTTCTCTCCTCCCACAAGTACAAACCAACCCATATTACTGTGCTGCTTTGATCTTCCTCATTCTTATGCATGTTGAATAGATTAAGTGTGGCTTTAACAAAGAAAAAAGGAAATGGCAATCCATGCCTTTTGTATAAATTGCAAATGTATTACACCAAGACAATTCTAGAACAGCGCCTTCCAACATAACCAGAAGCTGATCGCTCTCCCTGTGACAGATTTACCATTTTCATGGTCACACAATGTGAAATTACTTCTCTTTACAACTGTTTCATGTGGTTGAACTACAACTGAAATGTACCATTGAAGAGTGTATATGAAACTAAGTAAAGATGCCTGTATATTCCTGTGGCTGTGGTCAAGAATGTGGAACCCCATTGCTTTTAGTATTAAGTATATTTTTAATTTTAAAGTGCTTGACTACATTAAAGGCAGTGAAAGAAGTGGATCTGCTTTATACCCGTGTGAGATTGCTTGGGATGCTTGAAATAAATATATTCCTAATGAGATGTATTTGTTTTGTAATCTTTTTAATTAGAATTATTGTTCAGAATATTATACTTACCATGAGTATCTGCATATTATGTGCATTCTACTCCTGATGCCAGCAGGAGGTTAATGCTTGCATAGAGGTGACAATCTACAGAATGTAGGAGATCATGAAGTCACAATTCTCTCAGAGCAAGACAGAAACTGAAGTATTCCTGGTATGATATTGCAAGATCTTACGCAGCTGATTTGTATACAAGCAGATGTATCAGGATGTTGGTGTGGCTGAAAAGGGGCTGTTCCTGGTGTACCAAAAAGGTAGAAAAGAAGAGGTGGAAGCAAGGATGGGCAGCAGTGGAATAATTTTGAAATGCTACCTTAGTATATAGGGCAGCATTAGGAAATTCAAAGCTTAAATGAAGTTGATACTTGCATAGGTGAGGGCAACAAGAGCAACTTCTACCACTTTCTGTATCAATCAAAAAAGGCTGAGCAAAGAAAATGTAGCTGAACGAAGCAGGTGATACAGTAACAACAGACACCTGAAAATGAAGCATTCTATGGTCTCTTTGCCTTATCAACATGTTATCCCATTCTTCTGTGCTTAGGGAAAGTGTTCACAGAGTGATTAGCAATAGCTGATGGCTGAGTAAGGGATTTCCTGTGAGATTTTCATCAGAAAACTCCATGGGACTAGACGGAAGGCACCCAAGGTCCTGAGGAAACTGGTTGCAAGGCCTCTCTAACTTGGAAAGGTTATGGTGAACATAGCAGTTTCCTAATATCTGGAATAGGCAAATGTTCCTTCATCACAAATGCCAAAAGATAACCTGGGTAGCTTTAAAATCATCAGCATCACATTGGTCCCTAAGGAACTTAGAGTAGTCCTTGTGGAGCATGTAAATGAGAAGCTGACAGAACAACCAGTTTGGATTTTCTAAGAGTAAATCATGCCTGACCAGCCAGGCTGCTTTCTGCAATAAAATGACTGGATCTGTGGATGAGGGGGAGCAGTGGATGTCATTTATCTCAACTTTAGCAAGATTTTGACACTGTGTCTCCAACAGTATTTTTGTATCCAGTTTAGGACATTATGGTCTATACACTGGAACTGTCACATTTAACATCTCTCAATTAGCTGGAGGATGTGACAAAGTCAGGTTTCATTAGGCTTCACATGCCACCAAATTGGAGGGAACAGCCAATACACTCACAGGAAGGCTGCCATGCAGAGGAAGCTGGCTTGGCTGGAGGGTTGGACTGACAGGAACCTTAAGGAGCTCAGCAAGGACAAATGCAAAGTTTCCTGCAGCTAGGAAGGCAGAACTCTAGATGGAGACAGGCTAGTGCTGACTTTACAGAGAAGTCCCCTGGGAAATCTGGCAGATAGCACTGCCTATGACACGGAATGGGGCCCGGCAGCAGAGAAGGCTCACAGCACCCTTGACTGTGTTAGCAAGGGCACTGCCAGGAGATTGAAGGGATTTTCCTCCCAGTCATCACTTATTAGACCACATCTAGCCACTGTGCGCTTTTAAGCAACCCCATTCAGAAAAGGCATGGGAAACTGGCATTTTCTGCTGAAGATAGTGAGGAGGAGGTAAGGGAAATGGATTTATTCAGCCTATAGAAGTCACTTTGCATGAACCTGGCAGCTGTCTGCTGGGACCTGTAGGAGAGTCTTTGAGAAAATGAAGCAAGGCTCTACACAGTGGTGTCTGGTGTAAGTACAAGTAACAGAGGGTATAAATTGAAACAAGAAAGTTTCAGACTGGGTATGAGGAAAAGAAAAACATGGGAAAAGCATAATATTGGGATTAGGTAAAATGGTTTAAGTACCCTACGCCAACAGACCACAAATCCTGAATAGTCAGACACCATTTCCTGTGCTCCTGGATCCAGCCACTTCATGTAGAAACCTAAGAACCTTTACCCACCACAGTGATTTTCCATTGGCTAGCAATGAAACCTGTGATATAACCCAAATTCTTAATTATAACTGGCATATTTTTCCTGCAAAACACTGCTATAATCTTTGAGTTAGTGCAAGCTTAAGCTTGTGTCTGCATGGTACAGTGGTATATGGACTTACCTGCCAGGTTTCCTGTATGGTGTAGTGTCTTATTTGGCTTGGCCTATTAGCTAGACTTCTTGGCAAAATTAGCTGAGACCCAGTGATGCAGGACTGGTTTGCACGAGCACATGATCTTGAGTATGCCTTGCTAGTTTGAAAATCTGTGCTGTTATCCTCTGCTGTCCCTGTTCTGTAGTTAGCAAAGAAACAGCCAGCCAGGGTCTACTTGCCCAATGAATGCACAGTGGCTAGAAGGGTTGTTTTTGTTTATTTTTTCTATTTAAGAAAGAGTGAAACTGGTGTGGTCAGTGAGGTGGAGGCTTGAGGCAGTTGTGGCCTCTCCACTGCAGAAACCCAGCCCAAGTTCCTCACTTATTTCCCTCCACCATGGGAAGTCATTCCTTCCTATGTATCGGGCATGGTCCTGGGTTACTTGTAACTTGCTGTCTGCTAGAAGGGTCAATGGAATCCAGCTACCTTTTTATTACTTTGATCCTAGCTTCAATCTAGACACTTGTAGACCCCTCCACTCCAAATCTGGCAAACGTGTTTTAATACATTTCAGGTGAAAGGTAAGGATAGGGAGGATGGGAAGGTATTAGTGTGATCTTGTCTACCCACTGGAACGTCAGTGTGCCATTTCCTCATGACTAGTAAGAACTGACATACTGTGAGTGTCTGGACCTGACCTTGCAAAAGGCAGTACTTTTCCTCAAGAAACTTTTTCCATTAATTCTTTATCATTAATCATTAATGATTCTAAAACCCGAATAATTTAACAAGTTTATTACAGTAGATCCTAAAAAGTGTAATTCTGCTTGATGTTGGGGAGTATAAATTCTCAGGGAAGGAACAATTCAGGATGAGGTACATTGTGCTAAGCAAACCTGTTTGCTGAAGTACGCTCATAGCATAGTTGGGAAGCAATGAAAATATACGTGGTCACACACCTGCATTCTTGGGACTGAATAGTTCCCTGGAGGGTGTGTAGCAACACAGGTAATTTCCTGCTGGTAACAACAAATGGTTTTCTGGAATAACAAGTAGCCAATAAACTGGCTTACAAAAGTAGCTCTGAGTCACAGAGTCTCCTGGGATGCTTTGGTGTTGGCCACTGCTCAGAGATGAGCTTTTAGGCAAACTACCAGCTGGAAAATGGTACGGAGGATTTTACTGTCAAAGAGCAGGCTGGCTAAGTATGACAGCTGTCTCGTTGCCTTTGCAATGCTGTATACAGCTGCAAAAGGGAAACTTAGAGCTGACCCTCTGCACTGCTTGCTGATGGGACTGCCTTTATGTCCAGCTCTTTATATCCAGAGAAACATTTTGCAACTAATGCTGAAAGTGACCTGCAATGTGCATTGGCTGCACTATGACTAGTGCCCAGTGTTCTCAGCTTCCAGATAGCATTTTTTCCTTTTTAGTCCCAAGTGGGGGAGAAAATATACACTTCCTTGTAGAGAACCGGGAGTCTTTACTAGCATCTCCTGCTGTGAGGAAAGGTGAGACTTTTAAGCAGCATGTGAAAAGACTAACAATAAACAGGATCACTTCTGAAGGTAAAACAGATGTTGTGTCTCAGAAGCATCCTGGACTTCAGAACAGTCCTGGCAGTGGTGTCGTAGAAGCCGTGTGAATGTGAGCTCTTCCACTGTATGCAGGAATGTGTTCCTTTGCTATTATCAATGATATGAAAATCTGATCCATTATGAACATGCTGACATGGATAACTGAGGAGCCAGGCTCTGACAGCAAATTCTGCACTGTTCCTACAGCAGTGGCTGTGCTTCCTTTGTATTGTTTTCTTTATGTTGGACTTTTCTAGATTCTTGCACAGCTTTTTTGAAGGCATCAGAGGCTAGAAGTGTTCTTTCTGTTCTCAGGTTGCAGGCAAGCTGTGCAGACCTGCAGAACTGCCATTGCTTTGTTCTTCACACCTAAGCCAACCAAGCAGGTGATTGAGTGAGAAGCAGAGATAAGTGAGTCCTCCGCTGCATTAGTGAAATCATGTTTGTCTCCATGTGCTTTAAATTTTCCCAACCACCCTCAATTACACATAAAAATGAAATAAAAATTCACAGTTGGCTGGATGCCCCCTGCAGACCTGAGCTGGCTTTATGGTCACTGCCATATCGCATTAGTTAGTCTTAGTTAACCCAGTCTATGCTAGATTCAGCCCTGTCCTTGTTTATCTGCATTCCCTACAGTGCATGAATGAGGAGCGGTTATTGTGTGTACAGAAGGTGCCAGACATCTTTTGTTGCATATTTATTTTCTCTTCTTGAGGAACTCACAGATGAAGTAGATGGTGACTTGACACTCAGAGTCGTTCCACTCTCCTGTGCTGAGCATTTCCACGCAGTCCTCATGTCCTGTGGAGTCGTGAGGCTCCCCATCCTTCCAATTACTGTAGTTTTGCAGTGGGCTGCTGTCTGCATATACAAACTGCCCTTCTTTTTCTATGTCATTTATTCCGATGAATGCTCGGAAAAGGCCACTTGAGGAGATGTAGTTGGCAAGAAGGGCATTGGTTGCCTCATCTTTAGGCATGGCCAGTATTCCTCCTCTGTCTCTGCAGTGCATCACAGCTTCTCTGTAATTCTTCTCTTCTTTGACAATATAGTAGAATTTTTCATCCGTCTCCCTGATACCTGCTATAACTTTAAAGGGGAAAATAAATCTTTAATGGCATTTTAACAGCTATTGAAGGTTCTTCTTTTCCACTATAACTAGAAGATGGTTTTTACATTAGCATTAATGAAAAGAAGATAGGTAAATTGTTCCCACCACTGAATTTAGGGTGAACAATAAAGACATGATCAGAGACTGATGCTACCAGTAGGAATGACAAGAACCTTACATACATTCAGTCCTGAGTGGCATGTGTCCCCTGTGACTGTTTTGTACTGGACATCCTTGAAGTTACCAAATCAAGGCATACTGA